GCGGCAGCATCGCGCTCGGCCATGGTCACCAGCATGGCCTCGATCCTGGATGGCGGCGACTACCGGCCCGAGCTCTCCATCCCACTGCACCATGCCATGAGTATGTCCTGCGACTCGTCGCCGCCCGGCATGGGCATGAGCAACACTTACACCACGCTGACGCCGCTCCAGCCGCTGCCACCCATCTCCACAGTCTCGGACAAGTTCCACCACCCGCACCCGCACCACCACCCGCACCACCACCACCACCACCACCACCAGCGTCTGTCGGGCAACGTCAGCGGTAGCTTCACCCTCATGCGCGACGAGCGCGGGCTTCCGGCCATGAACAACCTTTACAGCCCCTACAAGGAGATGCCCGGCATGAGCCAGAGCCTGTCCCCGCTGGCTGCTACGCCGCTGGGCAACGGGCTGGGCGGCCTCCACAATGCGCAACAGAGCCTGCCCAACTACGGTCCGCCGGGCCACGACAAAATGCTCAGCCCCAACTTTGACGCGCACCACACTGCCATGCTGACCCGCGGTGAGCAACACCTGTCCCGAGGCCTTGGCACCCCGCCCGCGGCCATGATGTCCCACCTCAATGGTCTGCACCACCCGAGCCACACTCAGTCCCACGGGCCAGTGCTGGCTCCCAGCCGCGAGCGTCCCCCGTCCTCCTCGTCGGGCTCGCAGGTAGCCACATCAGGCCAGTTGGAGGAGATCAACACCAAAGAGGTTGCCCAGCGCATCACCGCAGAGCTGAAGCGCTACAGCATCCCACAGGCGATCTTCGCTCAGAGGGTGCTGTGCCGTTCTCAGGGGACGCTCTCCGACCTGCTCCGGAATCCAAAACCGTGGAGTAAACTCAAATCTGGCAGGGAGACCTTCCGCAGGATGTGGAAGTGGCTGCAGGAGCCTGAGTTCCAGCGTATGTCTGCCTTACGCCTGGCAGGTAAGCCCAGGGGCGCAGCCAGAAGCCAGACTGTTGGGGACAGGCTAAGGACTGAAGTCCAAACTCCCCTTCACTCCTCTGTTTTCTCTTCATCTCCCTTACACGTTTCCTCTTTCTTTGCCTCTATTTCTTTTTCTTCCATTTTATCTTTCCTTCTGTTTTCCCTTTTCTTTTTTCACTTGTTCCTCCTCCTATTTCTCTGTTCTTGTCCCTGAGCTTTCATGTACCGCCACCCCCTGATTTCATTTGCTGTCTTCCCAGTGTGCCAACCTTTGCCCTTATTTCTGACTTTTCCTAGCAGTAAGACACGGGATGGGGGCGCGGTCTCCACTAGTTCTCCTTTCCAGGATGCATCAAAAACAGGGGATGGTTCTCAGCCTTATGCACTTGGAACTCTTAGACAACACATTTCAGATTTCTAGGTTGCCTCATCTTTCTAGGAAGTGAGTGAGGAGCTTTGCTTCTTGGGAGAGAAAAAACAAGCGCTCTCTCCGCTCCCCTCCTACCCATTATATCAGTCAAATTCTTTGGTCGTTGGTGGGAGACATAACCTTGTCGGCTGGGCAACGCCAAAGACAGGATATGCCACCACTCCCGGAGTCCATCTCTGCCTTAGTGTTGCCTAGGGACTTTGTGACCTGGCTTGACTCAAGGAACGAGCTTTGGCCAGCTCGTTGTCAGTGTCTACAGCAAGGGGAGGGTACAAGGACGAAGGTTGGGACTTGTATATTCATCGCTTTGGGAGGACGAAAGAGGAGAGACTCAGCCCAAACACCCTGCCTCACTCCCCAGCCGTCCTTGCCATGCTTCTGATGTTGACTAGGATTTGCTGAGGTGTGGTGGGACTCTGGCAGAAGCTAAGAGCTCAAGAAATTAAGATGCAGTTAATTCATCTCGGCCGAAGGCTGCAAGCTCCGCCTTTGCATTAAGCGGGCGTTGATTGTGCGCTTGGCCAGGCGACGGGGAGGGCTGGGTGTCCACGGGAGGGGACGGGTCGACGCGCGGGTTACATTGTTCTGGAGCGGGCTCGGCTCTTTGTGCCTCCTCTAGCGGCGGAGCCGCGAGGTACAACCCTCTATTGTTCTAGGAGCGCAGAAACCTCCCGTGTGCGAGGCGGGCGCGGGAGCCAGGGTGAAAGACGCAGCACTAGCTGCGACTGGTGTGTAACTATGGCACTTTTATGCTCGAAGACCCCGCGCCGCGCGCCTGTCTACTGCTCAGGACTGAAGCACGGAACAACAGGGACAGAGTGTCCAGAACCCCCAACTGAAGAAGACGTACGATACCCTATTGCAAATCCGTAAAGGCAGCTTCTCTCGGCTTCTGGGGGCGGGAGTCAAACTTGTGCTCCGAGAAAACAATTCAGTTCTCGATGTCACTAATTTGCATAGTGTGAATGTTTGAACACGCGCCGTTGCAAACCCGCGCGCATAAAGCGCGTTCGGAGCTGAGAGCTTAGGCTCCCACTCATGCTCTCCGGCGCTTTTCTTGCGCCGCTGGATCCAGCTTGTAGGGTGCACTACCCTGCGCTGGACCGGGCTGCCGGATGTGACAGGCAGCATATGCACTCCAACTTGGCGAGGGGGCGTTTCCATTCTGACAGCCTGCTCCCTGGCCGGCTGCTGGGGGATTTCCATCTCCACTCAGTAACCTCCTCCTAGTGATTTAAGGAGGTGAAGACCATCTTTCCGCCAAAGAGCTTCCCCCACCCAAATCGTTGGGCTCTGGATACTTTTGAGTCAGTTCATAAGTCTGCTGTTTATTCATTCATATCCTCTCTCTCTCCTTCCTCCCTCCCTCCCTGCTCGATCGCTCTCTGTCTTTTTTAGTTAAGTCTTCATCCTCTCCTATGATTCTCAGATTTGTTCTTGGTTCGTGACAAACATGAGGTGAGGAGAAATAAACTGGATGCTTATTGACAACCCCATGCAGTACGGCACGCACCTCTTTGTTTTAGATTATCCCCAAGTGCTACAGGCCTTCCTAGGCCGACTACAGCAAGGTCTGGTTTCCTGGGCAGTGGAATGGGGGACAGAAAGAACTTGCTCTTGGGGGTACAGTTAAAGGCAAAATGACAGCTATTCCCAGGCAGATCTCAGAGCGCTGCCGCCCCCTCACGCCTGTCGCGCAAAGGACACGGATTTTGAAAACACGTGCCTGCTGCCTGTATAAGTCTAAAAGCGCAAGGAAAGTGTGTACTATTAGCTTGTAAAAAGGCACCAAGCATTGGTGGGGTGAGGAAGCATGTGGCATTTTGGAAGTTATGGGGGTGACTCTGGAGGGCAGGTGTCCAAAAAGCATTGACCGAGCAGGGCGGGCTTTTCTGCAAAGAGGGAACGCCTCCTCCCGGGAGCGAGTTCTGCGGCTGAGAACTCCGATTTGCTGAAGCATTCAAATGTGTGCCTGTTTTATTACCGAGTTGAAAAGGGACAAGGGCTTTAGCCTTTTTATCTGGCCATTTTATCAGCAGCTACAAGTGTGTTGAGTGGTTATTATTACATAGAAGGCTTTTGAGTTTGGGGTCAGTAGATCAGTCTCTTCAGAAACTGACTCAGAAACTGGGACTGGTAAGTAGGTATTATGTGCTCAGGAGCGCTAAGGGACAGAAGCAAATGGAGAAGAAAAGCGGAGGCTTTCTCCGCCTGGGCTATCGATCGGAATCCCTACCGGCAGCCGCCAGGGCCCACCCGGGTTAAGTCCCAGGGGTAAACTGGGCTGAGCTGGGCCCACTGCCCAGCCCCCATCCTGCCCAGATCTGAATCGTTTTCCTTTCACTTTCCTTTCTTTTTCTCACTTTGGGTCCCTCTGGGTCCTACTAGTGTTCCAGGCAGAGTAAGGGGTTTAGGGACCTCAGAGTCAAGTCTGAGTCAGCCGGTGGCCAAAAATCCCACTGTTGGGCCAAGTACTTCGCGCCACTACCAAGACAGGACCCTTCTGCCATTCCTGCGTTTCCAGGTTGTATTCCGCTGCAGCCAAGCGTGATACTTTAAAGTGGGAAGGAGAAGTCCTGGGGGACACCCAGGTCCAGACACCACATTTCAGAGAAATAAACTCCAAATGCACAGTTTCCCTTTCCCTTCGGAAAGGGCAGCCAGGGCAGCCGTTATTTGGAAGCCAGCAGTCGGTTCTTCTGGGGTCCCCACGGCCTGCCCCTGAGCAGAATGGGTTTTATTAACTCGGAAAGAGACAGCGAGGACAGATTCCATAGAATTCAAGCACACAACTCCGGCTTTGAGCCCGAGAGGCATCTGCACCAAGCACAAACAGGAGCGAGGAAGAACTGAGAAAACCCAAGCAAGAACCGAAGGGTGCGTCCCGCGGAGCTTCCTTGCATTGGCACTGAAGTTTCCACTTCCCGTGAACCCTAATTCACTAGTGCTCTGTCCGGAGCCTCTGCTAGGAAGTAGTTGCTAAGGCAGGCTGCAGTCAACTCAGTTGGCTGATGGCCTCTAACCATCCAGGCGTCCCACCTGGCGCCTGCTACGGTGGAGCACCGCATGGGCAGTGAGTTCCTGCTGGGGGCACCGGGTTCGTGCTTGCCCCCACGCTGCACCAAGAATACCCCTGGGCAGGTTGGACCAAGGGCGTCTCAGAATCCAAGGGATAAATTAGGGGACTTCCTTTGTAGCCACTCCTCTCCCTCCCTCCCCCATCCACACCCACTCTCTTGCTTTTCCGGCCAGCTGCGGCCCAAGCCTGCCTCTGCCTGCCGTTTAGTGGAGGATCGCTACCGTAGAGGCCCAACACAACCCACGCCCTTACGGAACAGGCGATATGTATGCCTCGGATTAATAATTGAAAAGCCTGCTACCTTCCTTGCTTGGTCAGGTCGGAGAGCGGGAGAATGCCTTCCTAACAGGCGTTTGGGTGGGCGGGAGCAGGAGGTGGAGGACGGACAAGGAGGGAGGGAGCCCAGGCGAGAAATATCCCAGGACGCTGAGCGCCCTCCACTCTAGAGGCCATGCATTTATTTTTATTCCAGGCTTTCCACCGTGTGGTTCTGTCACTTTCTCAAACAAATGTGTATATGGAAGGAGATCGATGCTGATAATGTTTAGAAGATTAAAAGAGCATTAATGCTGGCAACAATAACGTAAACGTGTGGACCCAGATTTCATTGATCTGGAACCTGATCCGGCGCGTTTCCAGTAAGTCCAACGGCGCGCTCTTCCCAGCAGAAAGCTCGCCAGCGCCCAGGCTGCCGGCGCTCCGCAGAGCCGCTTTCCCGCTGGGGCCGGGTTTTCAGGTCTGACCGCAACTCCTCCCATGAGCAGCCCTAGCCAGCTCCTTGCGCGCCAGGGTTTTCTCCTCTCGCAAGGCTTCCACCCTCTCCCGCAGGTCGGGCCGCCGGATCGCAGTATAGAACGGCTCCCAGCTCACCCAACTTTGCCTGTCCTGGGTTGCCCGTGACCACCTCTGGTTCGACAGGCCTCCTCAGACCGACTTTTGTTTTTAATCTTCCTGGAAAGCCCAGAAAGGTTTCTAAGTTCACTCTCAATATGCGCGAAGGACCACATTTGGAGATGGTTTGCTTAAAGTTGTCTGACAAATGCGCCCACGGCCCACTCTGTACTTACCTGTTTCTGTTGTAAAAGGCCCATTCGCAGGGTGCTTTCTGGGATGCAGTTAGCAATTAAATGACGCCCAATGACAAACGTCGAGAGGATCCCTCAGAATGGTCAGTTCTGTTTGGGCCAAATTGGGACAACCTGGGAAGAATCTTGTCTCCTACTTCAGCTAGAGTAGAGGGATAGGAAAAGCCGCAGGAAAGCATCCACCGTACCCCTTCCCAGCTGCTCTGAGGGAGGGTCGGAGGCCCCTGCTAAGTGGGGGGGGGGGTCTCAGAGACACCAAAACTAAATGGAGAGAAAGAGCTTTTCAGCTCTTCCTTCTGCCCTTGCGGGTTACCAGCACACCCTGCTAACCCATTCCTTGGCAGGCCGGGCATACATGTCCAGAAGGAACACTGGAGTGAATTTTATGCAAAGACTGAAAGAGTT